GGAGAGATGAACGGACGAGGAAGGGAGGAACCGACGACGAGAGAGAGAAGGAGAGAGGAGCACGAGAGAGGGGAGAGGCGAGAGAGAGAGAAGAGAGACGAGAGACGACACGGAGAGAGATCGGAGAGAGAGCGAGATGAGAGAGAGAGGAGAGAGGAGAGAGAGAGGAGATGAGACGGCGGAGAGAGAGAGAGAGAGAGAGAGAGAGAGAGAGAGCGAGAGAGAGAAGAGTGTGTAGCAGCGTCTAACTCAACCTGTAAGTGCAGTTGGTCAGGTGTGAATAATCACAATTAAGCCTGTTAAACATAATTTAACTGCGCATAAATTATTTTTACCTCTGATTGGGTAAAAAAAACACAATTTAATTGCGGTTACATTACTTCTACTACTAATACAGTTCAACAGTTCAACAGTTACAGTATACAGTATACAGTTCAACATAACTAATACAGTATACAGTTCAATACTTCAACTCTATACAGTTCTTTTTAAGAGAACTACCTACGCACAATTCGTTGCCGATAAACGCAAACTTCAAAGTTTATTCCAAGCTATACGACTGGATGGTAGTTCTTCAAAAAGAGAAAAATCATTCCATAACTTCCACACTACATACGCACATACCGTACATGCTAGTGTCGTGAGAACCACCTGCGAATTAATTCTATACATTTAGTCCTTGTAGTATTACCAACACATAACAATGGCTATATTTGGTACTATATATACTCTCGCAGGTACAATACCTATATTGCGATATATACATCGATAAAACAACGTCTATATAGGACGATACTAGAACGCATTTCTTTACCAACGAAATGATACCAGGTAATTAATCGAGAAAGCTTATATATAGCGCTTTACAAATACAGAAATTCAAGGTGTGAAGCTGAATGTTACATGACATGTGTACGATGAAAACACCTACAGGCACAATACTAATTGTTCTACTAACGCTGCTCATGGCGCGTCTATAGTACACTCCAATAAGTATATAATAATATTAAATAGACTAAATAACCACAACAAAATAATTACATAACTATATACGTATAGTAGAACTAATTACATATATATAAATATATATATATATATATATATATATATATATATATATATATATTACT